CCCCCCCCCCCCAAAAAAAAACACTCGATGTTAGGGCATTTTCCACCCACTTAATCTACTCTAAGCAAAAAGGGCGAAATGGTCGGCGATTTTGGAGCTTGACTTCTTGGGATTTTCTGCTACAATGTTTTACTAAAGTTGACAGATTCAAGTTGCTCTTTAAAGTTAAAGTCTTCTCTCCATTCAAGTAAGACTTTATTGCTGATCTCGTGTTGCTTAGGGTTTTTTGAAATAAACAAATCATGTTGCTTTTGATGTTCTCTGATGTTTCAGTTGTGTCTTCAATGTTAGTAGATGTCTTTATGTAGTATTTTTTTGTTGCATGTGGTCCCGCTTCGCTTAATCTCGTCTGAACTTAGAGTTATATTTTGGTAACATCTGGTTTATTTATTCGTATGGAGTTGTCTTTTTTAGTCGATTTCAGTTGTTTATTCTAAACTTTTGTCTTTGTTTACTAAATTTTCAATTACATGTGGTCCCTTCCCTTTTTGTGTTGGTCTAGACTTAGGGGTTCAATTATTATTGATGCCTGATTGTTTTATTCATATGGGGTCTACTTGTTTGTTGATTTCAGTTGTTTATTCACTATTTTTGCTTTTGTTTACTTTGTTTTGGCCGTATTTGATCCCTGTCCCTTTATTGGTAGATGCCCTCTTTAACTCCCTGTCCCTTTATTGGTAGAAGCCCTCTTTAACTTTTCTGTTTGTATATTATTGATGGGTCATTTTTCTTGTTTCTTTTATGGCTTGCATTTGTTTTCTTTGAAGAATGATTGAGAAGATTGATTTGGTCTTTAATCATGGGGTAAGTGGGTGTTGGAACCTCAAGTGGTGTATCTTAAAAATAGGAAGCATGTATTGATAGGTTATGATGTGGATTTGTTGTCTTATATAGACATTTGTTCTGAATATACTAAGAAGTTAGGTTTTAGTGAGGTGAAACAATTACTAGTAACAGGCCCTACTGGTAGGTGCTTTTTAATTGAGGGTGATGCAGACATTAGAATACTACAGTCTTTACTGTCAAACCAATTCAATGAGATTCAAATATTTGCTGTAGATGAGGGTGAATTATATGTGCCAGCTCCTAGCATCACTCACCATGATGAACCTTATAATTTGACAGTAGAAGTAGAAGTTGGAACTGATTGTGATTCATTTGATGAGGAGGAAGCTAATGAAACTAACTTTAGTGATTATGATAGTGAAGAGTTAGAACTATTTAGAAGAGAAAGGAACAAAGAAGTTAATGACACACTAGACAAGTATAAAAACTTGGAGAAGGGTATGAGTTTTAAAGACTTGGCTAAAGCTAAAAGAGTTGTGGGGTACTATGCAGTTGCTAATAGGAAGAGCCTTAAAGTTAACAAGAGTGACACTGGTAGAGTTAGATACAAAAGTGATATTGGATGTCCTTTTGTGTGTTTTATATCCAAGAATAATAGAGATAAAGGATTTAAGATTAAGACTTTGAACACAAAACATGAATGTGGTCCATCATTTCAGAATAAAAGAGCTACTTCCAATGCTTTAGCTCATTATTTCAAGAACAAAGTTCAAAATAATCCTAAGTACAAAGTCAAAGATATGAGGGTGCACATGCAGAACATGGGACTTGAAAGGAATTCCATGTCCCCATACAATTAGAGCTTTAATTGACAAGAAAGAAGAGCCATTGAGTGAAGTGCATTGGTGGTACTTAAAGGAAGCTTACATGGATGTGTATATGTAGAAAATACAACTAGTTAGAGGTTAAAATTTTAGAAGGTGGAACCACATCAGGCAATGGAGCCACCAAAAATTATCAAAATGGTTGGTCGACCAAAGGTAAAGAGAAAGAGAGAATGATGAGGCAAGGAAGAGAGAGGGGATTTGGTCAGCTTCAAGAAAAGGACTTGTCATGACATGTGGATACTGCAGTGAGAGAGGTCACAACATCAGAAAATATCCTTTGGTAATTCTACTCATTCCCTTTTTATTAACTTCAAAAACTTTTAACTACAATAACTCTAAATATGATACCTTCATTGCTTGATCTTCTAGGTGAAAGGGAAACATAGCCACTTCTTCCAAGATGAAGGATCTTCCCAAAAAGTACAAGATGTGCCCTTGACAACACCTTAAGATAGTCAAACTTCTGAATTTGTTTTTGTTCCTACACCTGGAATGAGGCCAATGACAACAGCCCAAGACACACATCAACAAAACACCTCTACTCATAGTGAAACAGCAGCAACACCAGCAGCACCAGCAACAGCAGCACCAGCAACAGCCGCACAAGCAGATGGAGATGCAATATTTGAAGATGAAGATGAACATCCAGTTTTGAGACCTAAGGTGATATCTGAAGCTAAGACTAGGCTTCAAAAGAAAGAGATGAGGCAAATGCCAACTGGTACAAGGAAGATTGCATTCAAGGGTGATGAATCTGGTACCAATGTGCCTACAAACTTGCCCTATTCACCAAGGAAAGTCACTTGGAAAGGCAAAGCAGCAATCACATCAAGACAATTATTGGCAGAAAAGGAAAATAAAGTTGGTAAATTGAAGGTTAAGAAGATCAAGCTCTAGGGACCTCAATTATGTTTGAATGACTAATTTTTAACTTAGGAAACGAAACTATGTTTTTGTAATGACTGATTCATAACTTATTATGTATTGTTTTTATGGTGAATCAGTTGTGGAAGTTGTAGTGATTCACCCTAAAAATCTTTTGTTGGGCTTATATTAGGGTGAAGCACATTGTGACAAGTGGTTGTAAAGTATTTTGTTGGCTACATATAACAATGCCTTGTTATCTATTGATGATCTTGTTATCTATTGATTTTGGAAATTATTGTATTGATGTTGTTTGTTTTCGAATGTGCATAACATGATGTTGGTTCTTATGGCAGTAATTTAGATTTCAATGAGCATAACATACCGATAAAAACTGGAAATTCAATGAAAACGGCAATACGAAAATACAGTACAAAGATCATAACCCTTACTAAGCAAAACTCAACTACAAAGACAGCTGCAAATTTAACCTAACTAAAAGCTGCAAATTCCCTTCATTAAACAACTATGCCAACAATCTGCAATTTTGTAAGCCATAACATCATAACCCTTACTAAGCAAAACAACTTCTCTACATCATCTTGCAGATTTTGTAAGCCAAAACGACCAACACATTCCTATGGTCACCACATTTGGACACTAATAACCACAACACAACTTCTCTACATCATTTTTTAAGCCACAAATATAACAAAAACAACCCATGACCATATTATAAACTTTTTCCATTGCTTCAATTACAACTCCAAATTTGAAACTTTCTCCTCCAATGCAGATACATTATTCAAATATCAAACTTTACTACCAACCATATCATCTACCATCTTCCTAAACTTATTCATTTCTTGACGAAGAACATCCACTGTAATTTTTTGCTTGTGGATAAATATTGATACATGAGGTGGAAGTTCTTCATCGCGCCATTCCTAATAACAACAACCATTACTCTCGTAACGAGGACATTTATAGAATCTACAACCACCATTTATAGGTGTCGTAGCAGTAAAATGATTGGCTACCAGTCTGCAATAACAAGCACGAGCATCACCTGGGTCACGAGAAGAAGTAAAAGACGATTCTGCCATTTGAAGCTTAAAAAGAAACGAACTCAAATTTATCAAAGATTTCGAGTTAAAAGATTGGAGATGAGAGATGATAGAGGAGAGAAATTACTGTAATTTGGTAATGAAGTGGGTGGAAAATGCCCTAACATCGGGTGTTTTGGGGGGTAAAACAATGTTTGTTGGGTCGGGTCGGTCTATTTGGGTTATCGGTGGGGTAAAATTCGATTTGGGGTGTGTCTTAATTAATGGCCAATCAGAAATAGTCACGTGAAATTAATAAAATGTTAAAACAAATCATAACACATCCGCTAGAACTAAGGGCACAAATATGCCAGATTTTTAACGGTAGGGTCATTCTTAGCAAACTAGGTTAAAGAAAGGCATTTTTAGACTGGAGTTGATACGTTAGGTGCAAGTCTGGCCCTTTTCCGTTTAATAAAATAACTAACTTCCCAAATGCTTGGCTCGAACGAATATTAAGAAAAGCGAGACAAGATGACTTTCATGGAATAGAATGGAAGAGCATATCAAATGTTTTACCTTTTTTGCTTTTCCTTTGTATAATCTGTTATAACCCGTTAATCTATTAAGTAATTACCAAGTAGTTTTATTCTTGATCTAATTTTATTGTGTTTACCCTCAAATATGGATAACAATTAAATTTATAAGTGATTTTAAAGATACGCGGATTAATTTGATACAAAGCGATAAATTAAGTCAAATTGAACAAACAAAAGATAAAACAGATTTAAACCGCACGAGGGGGATAGTTCCAGCCTTAGTAAAATATTTATCCTCGATACGAGCTCGCTATGGCCAACACTGATGAACAAGGAAAAATCTAATAACAGAGAAAATAATAATATATTGCTTTGGAATGCGTGTTACCATCCGCTAAATATATTATTAGACCCCCTTTATATAGGAGAATTCTACTCTAGGTACAAATCTATAAAAGGTAAAACATCCTCTGATTAACTGATAGCCGATTCTTCACCAATACGTGCCTAGATCCCCGCCGTGATATCCGACCGGTCATGGATATTACGGCCTTCCGTTGGCCATGCTCGATTGCCTGACAATATAGGAGAATGCACTCGGATACTGTTTATCTGGTCCTTGACTCCGGTCTTCGATTCTAAGGTAGCACGATCCACTGTTGCCTCGTTAAAAACCTTGCCGAAAAACCCATCTGGGACAAAATCGGTCTAAGGAAAAAAGAGTGCAACGCGTGCTTTCAGGTCTAATAGTCGTATCATCCCTTGATCGTTACCTGCACGTGTTAGTCTATTATGTAAAGAAAACAAATGGATGGCATCTTACCTCAACAGTAATATCGTTTTAAGTGGGCCATGTTCCAATTGTTCGGTAGTCGCTCACCGTTCATTGCTTCGAGTTTGTATGATCCTTTGCCGGTGGCCTCAATAATTTGATATAGACCTTCCCAATTCGTCCCCAGCTTCCTCTCGTTCGGGTTTAGGGTGCTCAACGTCACCTTCCTTAACACCAAGTCCCCGATACCGAAGTGTCGAAGGTTGGCTCTTTGATTGTAATACCTTTCAATTCGTTGCTTTTGGGCGGCCATCCGGACGAGGGCGGCTTCACGCCTTTCATCTAGCAGTTCCAGGCTCGTATTCATGGCATCATTGTTTGACTCTTCAGTCCTATATCGGAACCTGAGACTCGGTTCTCCTACTTCGACCAGTATTAGAGCTTCTGCGCCGTAAACCAATGAGAACGGGGTGGCCTCGGTACTGGACTTCGAGGTTGTACCGTATACCCATAGGACTTCAGGCAAGATTTCTTTCCATTTTTCTTTGGCATCGGTCAATCTCTTTTTGAGATTTTGGAGTATGGTTTTGTTGGTGGGCTCCGCTTGCCCGTTCTCACTGGGGTGGTAGGGTGTTGATAGGATCCCTTTGATCTTATGATCTTCGAGAAACTTGCTTCCTTTATTGCCGATGAACTGTTTACCATTGTCGCACATAATCTCTGCCAGCATTCCGAACCGGCATATTATGTTGTCCCAAATGAAATCGATTACTTCCTTCTCCCTGACTTTCTCATATGCCTGGGCTTCCACCCAGTTAGAAAAATAGTCAGTCATAAATAATATAAATTGAGCCTTACCGGGTGCCCATGGAAGGGGGCCGACGATGTCCATCCCCCATTTCATGAACGGCCAGGGTGACAAGACTGAATGTAGCAGCTCCTCGGGCTGATGAATCATCGTAGCATGCCTTTGACATTCGTCGCATTTTCGTACGAACTCCTTCGTGTCCTTTTCCATGTCGACCCAGTAGTAGCCGACTTTGATTATTTTCCGAACTAATGATTCGGCGCCCGAATGATTTCTGCAGGTGCCTTCGTGTACCTCCCTCAGAACATACTAAGTATCTCCCGGTCCTAGACATATTGCGAGTGGGCCGTCGAAGGTTCTTTTGAATAGGGTATCGTCTTCGGACAAGTTGAACTGGGTCGCCGTCGTACGCAGAGCCCTCGTTTCTTTAGGATCCGAGGGCAGTTTTCCGGTCTTTAGATACTCTATATATGTGTTTCTCTAGTCCCAAGTTAGGCTTGTTGAGTTTATCTCGGTGTGACCTTCTTCTACCACCGATCTCATAAGTTGTACGACCTCCCCTGAATTGAACTCTTTGTCATCGACCGACGATCCCAAGTTAGCAAGGGCATCGGCCTTACTGTTTTGATCCCGAGGTACATATTGTAGAGTCCACTCCTTGAACCGATGTAACGTTACCTGCAGTTTATCCAGGTATCTTTGCATTCGTTCCTCTCTGACCTCGAATGTCCCATTAACTTAGTTCACTAAAAGGAGGGAGTAGCACTTAGCTTTGATCACCTCTGATTTTGGCCAGTTCGAGACCTGCAATCATGGCATCATATTCAGCCTCGCTGTTAGTCAATTTTACAGTCCAAATAGATTGTCTAACTACATTGCCCTTTGGTGGCTTCAATACGATGCCAAGTCCAAACCCTTTTGCGTTCGAGGCACCCTCCGTAAAGAGGGTCCAGATTCCCGAAGAAGCCCCCGAGTTCAACAACAACTCTCTTTCGACCTTGGGTATAGGGTCGGCGTAAAGTCAGCCACAAAGTCTGCCAAAATTTAAGATTTAATGGCGGTCCGGGGCCGATATTCGATATCTTACCCGCTGATCTCTACGGTCCATTTATCCAATCATCCTTAGAGCTCGAGTTTATGCATTACATTCCTCAATGGGTAAGTAGTTATAACACATATAGGGTGACATTGAAAGTACGGTTTCAGCTTCCTAGAGGCGCTTAGCAAAGCGAACGCTAATTTTTTTAGGTGAGGGTATCTAGTTTCGGCCTCGCCTAGAGTCCTGCTAACATAATAGATTGGAAGTTGCGTACCTTCCTCTTCTCGGACCAGGATTCTACTTACCGCTATCTCGGATACTGCTAAGTACAGGTATAGCTGCTCGTCTGTCTTCGGAGTATGAATCAGAGGTGGTCTCGAGAGATACCTCTTGAGGTGGCTCTTATCGAAGGACCTCGAGATGAATCGGTCCAGGGCCGTTCACGGATATTACGGCCTTCCGTTGGCCGTGCTAGATTACTGACAATGTTCTTCGAAGTCGTTCAAGACTAAGACCAATTCCGAACCATGACCCCGATATTCTCGAGGGCGGGCGTCATGCCCCCTGATTCTGACTTTATGAGACTTTTGCCTCGATTTCGGTCCCCTGTCATCATGTCTCGAGCTTTACTTATTTTGTCGGAGACCAGGGTGTATCAATAGCCCGGTTTTATCCGTATACATATTGGTAGGAAAAACTTCCTTGCTCTTGATCTAATTTTATTGGTAAACTCTTGCCTCTACCAATGCAAAAGTTGTTGTGCTTGGAAATGACCCTTGTGCAGTTGTGCGTGGGCATTTTTAGTTTTGCCTTAGCCTTCTTTGTTGTGCGTGCATATGACTTCATTAATTCATTTCATTTTCTCCACCTTGCTTTTTGCTCTTCCCTTTTCCTATAAGCTTGTGAGTGGGTGACGAGCGAGATAGTG